TGTCATCTTATCCTAGCATTGTGTCTCAGGGCAAAAGAAATAATTTCTGATGCAACAGACCCTTGTGATAGCAGGGTTAAAAACTAGAGGAGTATTCGGCTGTCCTGCAATTCATGTTCTTTGCCCTGAACTGGTAATTTCCAGTGATAGTTCTTCAGAAATAAACCCTTTTAGTTTTGTTTTCTGTATAGTCCTAAAACACAGCAGTAGTTTGAGTGGGTGATTAGTACTTTAAAGGAATCATTCCATGTTAAAAACCAAGTTCTTTAGTTACTGTAAATACAACTGAATGGGAGGAATAACTGGTAAGCTAGCAAAGTATGACAGTGCCTAAAATAACCTTTTTGTAGTCAAGAACGTAGCATTCGAAGTGTGATACTGCAAGATATTTCAGGGTTAAAACCATGTTCTGTTCACAGGGCATTAATTTTATTTCCAGTTCTTTTTAATAGAACCTTTAGATTTCAGCACGGCTACATTCTCCAGTCAGAGGAGGAGCACAGGCAGATTTGTCCTGTAAGTTGTATGTCAGGGGGAGAGGCAGAGAAGTACATCTTTAGCAGATGACTTCATTTTAAAATCTGTGATTTGAGGGTGCTCACAGGCTTTGTTTTGAGATTTTTAGATAAGCCCAGAAGTAGTAAGCAGTGGAAGGTATAGTGATCATGATAAATGTGTGATAAATAGTTTGTCTTGTGTATCTTTTACATAGACTTTATCGCCAAGTGTGGTGCACTTTTACATTTAAGTGTATCTTAAAAAAGTGTGAACATATGTATGTTGCTTAGGGATTCTCCTGGATGAAAGTTGCTTATATAAGTGTAAATCAGTGTTTTCGTTGCTGATTTTATAGAAGTAAATCCTTCCATTATTTCCTGGCTATCCAGACCTTATGACACAGTATGTTCTATGCTGTCATGTGTATGAGAAGGCTTTTTACGGGGAGCAATCAGTCTGGACCCCAATCTCCAGTGCAGTGTTTTTTTCTAATTAAGTTGTCACTGGAAGGAATATCCGAAACAGCAGTTTTCATTTTCAGTCGAGGAAAAAACATTATGAGTCTTTGTCATTTGATTAAAAGTTACTTAACCTTTAAATTGCTACAGATGTAAAGATAGCTCTGAGTTTCCAGTGTAATCACCTCCAAGTTAAAATCAGGAAAATCTTTGGGTAATGAAACCCATATGTCATAGTGAAAGGATGCAAAGCACTGGCAGAGTGGGCTGCTCTAGCAGGAGATTCTGTACCCAATCTTGTTAACCAGGCCTACTTTTGGTAATCCCTCATCTCCTCACTTGTACGAAATCAATCTGTACTACTTCTTTCCAACCAGCAACCACAAAATTTACTGCAGAGAGGCAGCTTGGGGACAATTGTAGTAGAGAAGGAGCCCCAGGCAACAAGGCTAAATGCGGGATTGAGGGATTGAAGTTCTAAAGAGGAGATTATATTAAACCTTATTCTGCTCCCCTATCAAGTAGAAATCGCCCCCTCTCTTTTCAGCCCCAGCCTTTCCTACCCAATACCTGTTCTTGAGATCTGCTTGGCAGATCTTGCCAGGCAGCAAACCTAATTCATACAGTACAGCATTCTCTGTTAATTCTAGTAGCCTGATAACATTTTTCAATACATTTCTCTGGAAGAGTCTGTTCAAGCACTCGACTTCCATTGTAACCAGTGGTGATAACATCTTAAAGTGAATGAAGTGATTTTTTTGATGGTCTTCAGTATCCTCTTCCTCCTCCCTAGCAGGTGAGATTTAATTTGTATCCAAGCTATTGCGACCATATCCATTGTTGATTTTTCTATTGTAGTAGGTGCACAGCCTAGGCAAGGTTGTAAATCGTGGCTTGAAATGGAGATTCATGTTTCTGTTTCATGCTGCACAGCCTCTGTAGTGTCTTATTTGCTGGTACAATGAAACCTGCACTCACACCCTCTCTTCTCTTGAAGTCCGTGGTTTAAGCAACCATTTTAAGGAAAAAGATCCCTAAGGTTTTCATTCTAGTTTTGTCCAACGTTTTAATTAAAAAATCCACCTCTATCTACTACACAACTGGCTTCTGCTGGTCCCTTGGGTAGTTGCTAAAGACAGCTTTTACCGTCTCTCTTAGACTGCAATTGTATTTAGAATGTGGGTGATGGTTTCTTCATTCACAAGCTCTTCCGTCACTCCAGCAAGCTCCAAAAGGCCCCACTGGAAATGATATTCCCATTATTAAGAATTCGTTTATTAGAAGCAATACCGAGCAGAAGAGTCAGTGTAATATTAGAGACTTTTCTGTGCAAAACCCAAGCTCAAATCCTACTCCAGTGCAGATTAAAGAGGAACAAAGGGGAAGGAATAGCCAAGACGTTTGAACGCAGTACCATGTAATGTGTATTTGGCCTGTGTTTACCAGGAATACATTGAACTGTGGTTCTTGGGCAGAGAAGAGAAGCAGCTGAAGCAGAGAAAACGAGGTTGTTAATGTTTGTGGAAACTTGCCCTTAGTTTGGCTGTGATTTTTTTTTTTTGTGATATGAGGGTGTTATTTCCTGGCCATTTTCATACATATACAGAAACGTAAGGTCCTTTTTTTCAGTTTGGCATCGTATCTTTAAAAATAAAGCCCTGATGCAAGCCTGAGTATGTGAGGAGAAGTGGAATACAGAATAGCAGAAGGCTGTCTCCTGCTCCTAATGGGATTTTGTAGCAGCATGTGCGAGTTTGTTTCAGAAGTCAGAAATGAACAGATGTTGGTATAAATTACCTCTGTGTCTGATGTCTTGCAAATTAAAAGCGCGGTTGGCATCACTAAACAATTTCACCAGGTTGGGGGGGGAAGCGGGCGGTGATTATTGTAGCAGGTCGGTAAGAATCTTTAAGCTGCAGCAGAACAGGATAGCAAGGATAAAGGAATGAAGAATAAAATGAGAGGTCTGTGAATTAATCAGAAATGTTAACATCTCCGATGACAAGTGAACAGGAGGGCACATGCTCTGTAGCAACCCCCAACCCACAGTAATTTCACTCAGCACATAGAAGGAGTCTATGCTCTCTGCCTGATTTATAGGGTGCAGCCCTCTTTGGGGGAACAGAGTTGTCAGGCATTCGTATATCTCCTATACGGGACTTGCACTCTGCAGAAAGTTTCCATTCTATCAACTCCAATCCAGCTTTGTGCTTTCTCTGTTAAGAGTGGAACCATGCACTGTTGATGCTGCAAGGCAAGGAGGGGTCAAAGAACTGGTGCTGAAAATCTGTTCCTAGCTGAGATTTTTAAAAACTTGCATTTTTATCTAATCTTATTCTTTGTGCGTAACAACTTAGTTCCTGAAAAAATAACCGTCCACTCTGCACTTCTGCAGCACCTTCTATCCGTGTGTCACTTCAGCAGCACTTAAAAGATACAGGCTATTTTATGGATGCTGAAGTAGAGGTACAAATGAGTACTTTTCACGCTGTGAATCAGAAGCAGAGTTGGGAATGGATCCCAGATGATATAACTCACCGCTGGAGGCATGAACCAAGCAAATAATGCAGTGATCTGCTGGAATCTGCAGCCAGTCTCAAGCATGTTCTGCTCACGGCAGTGGGCTTTACAGCCTATGAATATCAATACGTACCAAATAGTTCATAATACCAGTAATTGTTTTAGAGGGATCTTGTTGATGATAATATCTTGTGGTACAATTTTGGATAGACAAATTAGAATGTAATAATTTAGAGAAGAGGCTTTAAGGCACAAATTCTAACCTTTAGGTAAAGAATAACAAAATGTCTTTACCTCAGGGTACGTACTGAGTATTTCAAGCTGAACATTTTTATTACATTTTAGTTGTGTTGTAACAGATAATCAGTAATGTCAAAAGAAAACCCAACATCAGCAACAAACCCACCTCCAGTTTTTATGCTAATTGTCACTTCTGTTATGTCTCTCAGTGGAGAGGTCAGGTATTGAATTGATAAAACAGAAAATGAATTCCCATCTCCTTCCAGAGCCTCTCTAGGCCAGGTGTAGGAAACATGCATGCTTTCCTCAGTGCTGTGAATAAAAACCTCCATGTTTTGATGCCTATCCGTCCAGCACAAAGCTTACACCTTGTATTTAAAAGAAATGAAGGGCAGCTCTGGTGAGAAGATTGTCTTTCTCCAGGACTTGATTGCTAATCATGTTGTCTTTGATGTGTTGTATTGTTATTGTGAGACAAAGATAGTATTAGGGCTGCCCTGCCAGCTTGTGAGCCTGTGGGCTCACAAGTCAGAAATGTCTCATGCAGAAAAGTGGCTGTGTAAACCCTGCTGTAATACAGCTACCAGAGATTGATGGTGCCAGGAGTGAGAGACATATAAACCCTGCCTTGCTGTATTAAACATCGAAGGACTGACAATGCGGAGAGAGAGAGAAGACCAAAGCTCTATAAACTTTACTTTATTACACCATCCATAGATGAACTCCATTGAAGGAATATAAACGCCATTATATTATGGCATCCAGGGACTGACACTGCTGAGAGAGAGAAAATGCTGTCTAATTTCTGTTGAAGATCATAGCATCCAGGGACCAATAATCCTGAAATGGAGAAAGAGAGAGTTCCATAATCTGTGACGGATTATAACATCCAGGAACAATTGCTCTGAGATAGAGTGATGGAGATCTGGATTACACCATTCAGAGATGGATAGTACAGAGGAAAGGAGATGCTGCGAGAGTATAAGGTGGTAGGAATAGAAAGCATAGATTGTATGTAATGAGACAGCCTGTGGGAATTATTGCTGAGTTTAGAATCCAGGCCCTGCCTGCATTTCTAGGATGTCGGGAATTCAAGCTGGAATGCAGTATTAATTATTGTCCACTTTAAAAAAGAAATAAAGTAGTCCTTACTCACAATTCCTATAAACGCAAGTCTAAATGGATTTCTTTTCTTATGGTTAAAATCTGTAAATTATACAACTGTTTGGGTTTCTTGGCTTTTTTTAAAAATATTAATCTCTTTTTTCTCCCTTGTGATTTCAGCCAGAGAAATGACTCGAGGGAAATTCCTGAACATCCTAGAGAAACCCAAAAAGTAGCTGCCACATGTGGAGTTTGGACAAAAATACCCCAGCTAGATCATCTGCGGATCCAGATGAACCCCAGAACTTCTAAGAAGGACAAAGCTTTTGCTGTAGACCCTCAGAGACAAGCATCTCTTTTTGCTTCCACAGCTCAACTCTCTACAGGGCAGATGTATTGCATACACAGGTCACAAGGACTGCAATTGGTTGCATTGGCATTCAGACTGCATCTGACCAAAAGATGTCTAACTGGACTCAGTCCTGACGTGCTGTGGCAAAGTTACCTGTTTTAATCAACTATTCAAAGGGAATAGCCATAGTGTCCGTATTTCGTTGGTCTCAGTGGCAGCACATCTTTGAAGTGCACAGCAGATCTTTGTGACACCGGCCAGCATGCATCATGAGACATTGACCCATCTGTGTGTCTTCTGTCTTAGATGCATTGAAGCTGCTAAAAGATTCGAGAAGAGTTTGAGGAGCATATGCTTTTAGTATAGAAGCTGAGTGCAGTCTGTGCGTTAAATTCCAGTTACTCACTGCCTTCAGAAAAGTGTGTCTGGTACTCCAGGGAGGACCTCCAGACCTTCAGCATACCAGGAGCTTCATCTCACTGCTAATGGGTTCTCTAGTGAAATGGAGGCTGGCAGTCCATAGAGAGCAAGAGATGTTGCTGCACCACGAAGGAAAACAACCCTACAGAAACTTCGGTTAGTACGCAAAGAAACAGCTATGTCAGTCCACTGCCATTCTTTGCTTCTTACAGAGCTAGAAACTGCAGAAGGTTTTGGAGTTGAAAGGCAGTAATATTTTCAGTTAGCGCTCCAAGAAGGGGCAACAGGATTGTTAGCCACGTTGCAAGGATGGTCTGTTTATACAGAAACTTAACACTTCTGAAAATAAAATTTTCTGGTATTTTTAATTACTTCTGAAACACCATCCTCAAAATTTTCTTCCCCTACAAAACCACAGTTTTTAAGACAGATTTTTCTGTGACCTGGTCTCTTTTAGCAGGCAGTTTGGGGCATTCTTCATCTTAGTTTAATGTCTTTTCCTTCTGTTAATGCAATTCTGCATGTTCACCCCTGAGAAGAGGTGAGGAGTATGTTCAGACTTTTATTTAGGAGAATAAGTTTTTTCATTTCATCCTCTTTCCTTTTCCTAGAAAACAACATTTTAAGCATTAGTACATGTGTTCTTTCTGGGTTACAACATAATGTTGAAACATTGGGTGAAGAGCAGGGTTTTTCTCCATTTGGATATGCTATTTTTGGTATGCAGGCTTTTCAAATCTTGTCATTTCCCCAGCTGCAGTCACATGTAAGAGGAGCAATGACTTAGAAATAGTCTGTTCTTAGAGCATTGCGTTTTCTGTCTTTGCAGAGAGAGGAGATCTTTTCAAGTGCATGTGCAATAAAGAGGAGGAGATTGTTTTAGTCAGAGACTTCTCTGATTTTTTTACTAAAATGCTGGTGGCCTTGCAGTTTGTAGTCAGTGGTCTCGGTTATTACCAGTCAGAAGTCTGCTCATTTTGGACAGCTCCTGTTTACTAAGTTCAAGCAGTTAAAAACCACATCCTGGAAAGACCCTGCACAAATACTGAATATTTAGGAATGTCAGGAGTCTGATGTTAAACTTAACGGATTTATTTCTGTGCTTTGCAGTTTATGCAGGGCTGAGTTTAACAGAAACTCCATCCCTTGAGAACACAAGAGTTAAGATAGATGAATGTGAAGAGAAGCTAAAAGTGATAATTCAGAGACAGAGAAAAAAACCTGCTCGTGCAAACCGATGTTGATGTAGCTTTAAGTATTAAATTATACATTTTGAATCCAATTTTAAGTTTTTATACTTTATATATAATATATGTACACATATATGACATAATGGGATACTATATATGTATCACCAGTATTTTGTGCATTTTGTAGAGGTTTGTTGATCCAACACGTTAAGAAATTGAGATCTGAAAGGAGGAGGAAAATAGGAGAAGATATTGAAAGCCTGGCATGGAAGTATATGTATATTTTCTGATATCTTCAGTAAGGAATTTCAAACTTAGGTAGTTTTTAGTAACATAGATGTGGGGTTTTTTTTTTTAAAAAAAAGGCCACCAAAAAAAGCCTTTTACCATATGCAGTGCTTCTGTAGGGCAGCCAATAATGTATGCTTTAGAATTCTGATATTTATTGGCTTTGTACTTGTCATCTGTAGAAATGAGTCAGTGATGTATTTTTTTTATTGGCAATATTTATATGTATTTTTGTGTGTTAGCCAGAGAATTGTAACCTGTCTGTTATTGCTTTGTGGTTTGATAATAAACAAATGCAAAACTCACGAGGTTTGTCTGGGTTTCCAAAATAGCCCTCTGAGATACAAAAACTTTTCCTTAGCCACCTAGGCAATACTCTTCCTCAGGCTCTTCTTCACACTTCTGCATGCCACCACCTTAGAGTTTGGCCTGTGGATGCTCCATTCCCACCAGTAAATAAATACTGGGCAATATCCAAATAGTACTAAGGGTTTTCTTACCTTTTTGGACCCTGTTTTTTTCCTTCAGTGATGTCCTTCCTGACATCCCCACAGTATCTATCTATACAAGAAAATCTGGGTGACTTTTTGTTGCTGATAATCTGTATTTTGAAACAGAAAAACAGTTTTGAGATGTTCAATGATGGAAATGAAGAGTATAAGATGATGAAGGTTTGGTAATATGAATCGAGGTAATGCATTGCTTTATAAAGTGTTTTCATGTGTTGGTATGTTAAATGTTACTGTAAGGTTCTTGGAAATAAACCCAGTATGTATTTAGTTCCTTGTGAATGCCAGTGTTACATATATTCAGTTGTAAAGGCTGTTCACTTCAGTCTTGAAGTATTAAAGGCTTTGCTGTTTAATTCAGCTGAGAAAAAATTCTTTTTTGTTTTATTAATCATTATCAAAATAGAAGTCTAGTTACACTGGCAGTGGAAGACTGTAATATTCCATTTAACTCAGTGTTTTGCTATTACAAAATTAGCAATTTTGGAGCAATCCTATAACCCACAGTTCTCAACTTTCATATTTTCCTCAACAAGTCACCCAGAAATAACAGATTAGTGAAAATTGACTAATCCAACTCAGAGGTAATGTTTGAAACTTATTCTGGTTTATCTTACTGAATTTTATGTTACATAGAAAAGTGAGGTGCTATTACAGGTCAAATCACAAGCCCATCTTACCTGAAATCTTCTCTTTGATTATAAACAGACTCATAGGGAAACAAAAGTCTTACGCAAAGTGATTTTGCTTTAAGGTAACTAACCCAGCATCCAGCAGTCTGTTTTAGTTGCATCTGGTCCACGGTAGACCCTACCTTCCATAAATTTGTCTTAGTTGTAACTTGTCTGTGCTTCTGACCTCTAAAATGCCCCTGAACAGCGAGTTCCGTAATTCAGGTATACAAATAAATTTTTTTTTTTTTTTTTTTTTTTTGTGAAAGAAAAAGGGGGGGAACTCATTATTTGTGTTAAACCTGCTTACATGATAATTCCACTTTGAACCTGTCACTGCTTTTATTGTCAGAAACAGTTTGGGTTTTTTCTTCTTTGCTGTCTGTGCACCACTTGTGATGTTTTGAGCTCCTGTTATGTTTTTAGTTCATGGTTAATGTTCACCTTCCTTATGTTCACAGTGTTCAATTGTCCGTCTGCTGTTACAGCCTGTCTTGAGATGGCATAGTCAAAATTGTGGAGGTGTGTAAGTCCTAATTACAGCTTGTATTTTGTTCTTTTGCTGGTTTCTCCCACATCATCATGGGCTAAATCCTGTTTTGAGTATCTCTAAGAACAGGATCATCACTTAGATTTGCAGTCTGTGCTTGCAGCTGATCTCATCCACTTCGTCTTCACCTGCAGTAACTTGTCTTAGGCAACGCTTTTTCCAAATCATGATGACGGTTATGCCAACCACTTCATATTGAGGAGGTGATATCAGGTAATTCCATCATCAACCTATGCAGTATGTAAAAATGATAAATTACATCTTTGGCATACGGTCTGAAATCCTGTACTTCTACCACAAATTCAGTAACATTGCATAAACATTTCTGTAATAGTTCTAAACCAAGATCAATTTTTAGACATACACAGTCAAAAGAAAAACACAACTCTTAACAGGGAAGTGCATCACGTCTTTGAGTGAGCTATCTGAATATGGCATGCAAGCTTAATACAACATGAAAATAATCCTCACTCCATAATGTTGTACCCCCATTTTCATATACCGTTCTGTACTAACACTTTTTAGAAAGTCATTAAATAATCAGTGTATAGAAGAAAGAAAATTAATTTAAAGACATTTTCCCAGAAGATCCTCTCTGTATCTTCAGCCCAGCAAAATCACAGTTGGACAGAAACTTCCCACAGACCGACAAACTGAACCAAATCAATGTGATTAGAACAACAAATGCAAATGTTGTAAATGCATTTCTAGAATAGGTATAATAAAAATATCTAACCACAGAAAGATCAGAACCCATGGTTCCTATGTGCATATCCCAGCATACACATCTGCTAGCATGCTAAGTACTTCCAAATAACGTGTGGTGTATGGTACTGAATATGCATTGCCCTGATAAGAGATGTACCTTGATATTTTTAAAAGGCAAGAAAAGGAGGAGGGGGAAAAAAAAGAAAAAGGGAAAAGAAAAAGACTGGATTCTTTTGTTTTCATGTAATTCTGTGATTCTGGGAGTGAAAGCGATTCTAGAGACGTGTTAGCTCTGCAGGCCAGTCTTTATATCAGTGCTTTGAGTTTCTTTCAGGAGGACGTGAAATGCAAAACCCTGAAGTCAGTTGAGGCCAACCATTTGGAATCCGCATAAAGATACATAAAAGCTCAAGTGGCCACTGAGGTATGGACTGATCCAGTTTCTAAAGAGCGTAATTCACGTTCTGTGTAGAATATGTGCACTAATGCCTTTTTTATTTAGATTGTGCTAGATTTTCAGCGTGGTGGGATCTCTTCACATTTGGACT